TTAATGCATATTAGAGTAAGGATATGGTGTAACAGCAATTCGTTTCATTACTGCTCAGTAGTACATTATAAAGGAACGTTAACTTGACACTAGGGGTGATGTTGGTGTAAAATCTCAAAGCTGGGCTAAACGCGTTCATGGCCAATGCCATCTTATTTCACTAGACAGTGTTATTCCCGTCTCACGTTTCATAATCTATACATAAGACGATATGCTTGAAAGCGGCGGTGGAATGCTCGTTGCATTTACTCTAGCTTACATTTTACCATTTCCGGCTTGGACAAACACGAGCTGAAGGCATGGTACAAAAGCTCGAATTCAAACGTAACTTGGCTGTTGGACACAAAAAAGTGAATAATTTTTTTTTTTTTTTGCCATCGCGACGTATAATGTATGCGTAGTATTGTTGGGAAATATAAAAACAAATTGTTTCTGGAGAATTTCTTACGTTTAGAAATGTGATTGAAATCAAACGAAGAAATGCTAGTTCGTTGAAGTGTAGCGAAATAATTTTTCTTACGAAAACATTGCGGGCGAGTATGAGGTATTGAAAAAAAAACCTGTCAAGTTTGTTGTGATATATTTACAAGATCAAGGGCAAGCAATAAGTAAATCAACACATAATAATGAGAATTTATTTTGGACCATTATAACCAAAGTAAAGTGTAAGGCAAAGGCATTTTATGCAGCCTTCCTGATAGTAATTAAATTTACTTGATTAAATAATTAAACATTTTACTTGTACATATTTTTATTTAGCATATGGTAAACTTGTCCTGTATTATTATTATTTTGTATTCACGTAACATAAACATTCGAAAACAACTAAACTTTGTTTTCGTAAATATGTATTCTTATGTTTGGCGCTATCTAGTTTCTACAATATTAACTTGAAACATTAATGGTATCTGTAAAATTATAGTGCTGTAAATGATTTCTCAGAGCAGAAAAATGCAATTTCTTTTACACATGCGCAATTAATTGATTGATATGAATCTAACACAAGGTTTACTATCGCCGTATTGTAGAAATCTTTGCTAGTTCGAACAATCAACGCCCATCATTGTACAAAAAAAAAACACTGTCTCATGTCATCTACGCAGGCAGTGAATGTACAAAATAATTATTCAGTCTTAAGGCACGCAAAATAAGACGGCCTTCTTGAAGACCGTCTTGATTGAATGTGATTGAGACAAGAATAAGCTGTGTTCTTTAAATGTAAATGCGAACATAAGACGCCAATTAATATTGACTTGGCAAACCTAGTTATCATGATATCTTATTAAACACCAACATACATCTAGGTCCACCCGCAGTATTAATGTCATATCGTGGCGAGAGGCCGTACAGTGAGCAGATAGGAGAATCTTAAGGCTGTGTCCAAATTCGCGAGCTAAGGGTACTTGCCTGGCTTTGCGCCCTAGGAAAATGAATTAACTATATGACGACCAAATACAAAACAAAATCGCGAATCAAACCTATAGTCCGAAGGATTGCTGCTTCAATTGTGCACTTTGAAAAAAAAAAAAGATATACCTTTATTTTCGTTATCTTAATTCAGTGAACATAAATTTAAATGTTGGAGGTCACCCCGGTTAATTTTTACAACCCCTGAAAAGACCCTTAATGTTCAAAACACATTACCCAACTTTTCCGTATGTTTCTAGACATTCCTATTGTGTTAGAATGTGTATGATAATTTTAGCAGGAATGGGGCCGTATTTTTTTTTGGGGGGGGGGGGGGGACAAAACTTAGTGTGTGAAATATTAACCTGATGGACCATCTATAAATGGCCGCCAATACGTTTTTGTGGCGGGAGTGGAAAAATTAAAGGAGAGTGGTGTGGAAGTAGGAACATATTTACCTGAAAGTAATATATAGTTGCAGAAGTTACATTTTAAAATAAAACATTGTGGTGTGACAAAACTTACAGTATTGCACTTAAAATGAAATTTAAAAGGGAATACATTGATGCGGGTTGGTGAGTAAGAGGTTTGTACAAGGATTCATCGAAAACGCCCCATGTCTAGATAACGAAGCGAGTTGTCAATGCTGCAGCTGTATGTTAAATATGATTTTAAATAGCAAAATTACTTGGTACATCCCACGTCTTACAGAATGTCAATACTAATTAAGAAAAACAATAAATATGCGACACAAATGACTACAAATAAATTTTATAGAAATATATGTTATCTAGATATGCCTTTTACATTTCTATAGGGGTAAAAAACACCCCTAAAAGGCTTATGAAGAGCAACGAAGATGAAAGGAGGCATAGATAAGAATAAGCGCTTTGTCCTTTTTGAATAAATTAAGTTATTTGTACCACACATTTAGGGTATTTTAGATAATAGTGACGGCAATCGTATAAGAAGTAACATTTTTTACTTCCAAACTGAAAGGAAAATGAGTAATGTTTAAGAAACCATGTTATATAATATTTCCTACAAAACACAAATTTATTATAAGTGAAAACCGAAGTTTGTTATATATTATTAAAACTTATTACCTCAGGTAACACCAACATAAGTGAACACAAATGCTCTGTCATAATATAGTCTATTATTAATCGGACAATGGTCACGAATTATAAATTAGTTTAACAACATCTGTATGTCATTCCCATTTCAGTATACATCACAACCACCACAATTGCAAAGGCTCGTACAAGAAAGTACTGCCATTACGCATCCGCATCTGCCGTTATAGGATTGGCAACTGCATTAAATATTCTCGCCAAACTGTGGCTGCACATGGCAGCCAAACCTATTACACCCAAAGGAATTAAAAAAAAAAAATTGGTAAACATAGGCACCTAAAACGGTAAGCAACAGGTTACCAAAAAATAATTCTGATTGAAATTGAACAACCAGTTTTCTATTCTGGGGGCCAGTGATTGAAGATAAGTGGACGAGTATTCTTGGTCCTGAATTTGAAACATCCTGATGCCGAGTCCGAATTGACAATTTAAGTATTTTAAAGCAGGACATTTATAATCCTTCAGTTGGAACTCTGCTGATAATCACTTGATACTATCGCGATGATACTATCAATCTATCAAAATTATAATCTGCACAAAACCAACTGGCCTAGCAGTTCTTAGGAGTGACTAACATTAATAATTAGATTTTCCATGTAATAAACGTGTTTACATGATCTTATTGGTTGTATTAACATTCCGACTTATCACATTTCACAACGCTCCATAGAAGTTACATTTATCTATAGTTATTTGCTTACGTACATGTGTATTCAGTTGTGATAATTCCTACAAATATTTACGTATTATTCTAATATGAGGTCGTAACTCGTAGGAAATGCCGCATCTATAAAATTACCAATTATTTGTAAAATTCAAAATCTGACAGTTCAAATGTCAGTTGTAAAATTGGGCCTCCGATAACGTAAAGTACATGAGTAGACGAGTAATCACCAAATTAATAAACAATTAGAACTGAAAACATGTTTCTGATGGCGGAGTGAAAAACCTCTGACAATTTTTTTTAAATCTTATAAATGTAAAAATAAATTTTTATGTTCTTTAATTACCGACTATAATATACGTGGTATTTTGTAGGAATTCTCCTTAAAATCATATCTTCTCATCTATTTAAAAATTGTTTAAAACATTATTAATTACCCAGAACATAATAAATGAAACTCGGTTATTGTTAAATTGTAAACATAAATCTATTTTATAAACTTTATTTTTGTGTGAAGTATTTGACCATTACGGCGTCACATGTAATAGAAAGTTAAAGCTCCGTGTATGTCGCTATTCGATGCAAATGCCCTAAAAGCCCAGTATCCATGTTTGTTTTTCAGGGGGAGGGGAGTTGGCAGCACAATTATTGTTCACCCCGACCCTACATCCTTAATAAAGGAGGTAATATAAGTCTAATAAACTATTCTGACAGTGTCTAATTTTAATCACAACAAAATACAATCAAATGACTTTCGACCATTGCGTTACTAAAACAAATATATATGACATTGTGAAAATGGTACATTATTGCGCTATTAACCTGACGTAGGAGTATGCGTAAATAAAAGTAAATATTAATTTTGCTAGTAAGTTGTAACAGTTCGTGATAGATTTACATTAAACAATTAACGTGTCAGCTACTGCCATCACGGTTACTATGTCACTAGTAAGAAAGGAGCTCTTTATTATGTGGGTCCTGAGTAATCCCAACATTCACCCTTTTGGTCTAGTTTGATAACAAGCAAAGTGAGCAACAACAGCATTACTACAACCAGTTACTATCACTCATAATAAAACCTTGGTATCTGAATTTACAATTGCCAACTAAGCTTGGCATAATCGGCCTTAGTAAACAAGGAGCTAGGAATAGTGAAACTTGATTTCAATTATAATTTCTTTTCTCCTGGGATTTTCGAACGTGATAGATGAATTTCCCTGCCAAATTGTTTTGGTTTGAATTTCCCTTAACTTAATCATAAGGCAATCTAGACTCATATGTTGTTTATGAACATGTGTTATCTCTGAAAAAAAAAGTATAGATTTGATAAGGTAGTTGGAAGGATACGAACACACTATTATTAGATCTATATTATTATTAAAACTATTACGTATATATTATACCTCAATACTGAAAATTTGTCCTTGTCTTCAGGTAGGGTCGGCAACTTGCAAGAGAAGATATCAGAGCTGATAGTAGCTGGCTGCCCTACATGTTTGACACACATGTCCAGTTAGCATGAGAAATTGATAAGGTAACTGGTGAGTTGGTGATGGAGCAACAGCAGAATGAAAACAGGGCAGAAACAGGAGCTCGCCGAAAAAAAAAAAACCCTCTTACTGGGGCAGTGTTCAATGAACTCTTTGGAATCGATCAAGGAACACGAAATACAGCACACGCAATGGTGATTAACCACTGAGATAAATATGGGTTCATATAACGAATGTGTGCAAAAAACATTTACGGAAAAATCCACACAAAATTTAATTTGTGACGTCGTCAAATATGCATCTGGCCCGTTTACTCAGTTGATTAGAGCGTCGTACTCATAACGCGAATGTCGTGGGTTCGATCCCCCCATGGGTCAGGTTTTGTTTTTAAGTGATCCGTGTTTCTTAAATGGCAGTACTTATTCGCAGAAAGCACATTGTTGTCAACGTTCGGCAACATAATTTTTTGTATGCATTTTAGCAACAAAAAGTGGGAAGTATTAACCTTTTATCAGAACTTGTTATTGCTCTTGACACATATTGTTACCATAACAACACGAGTTGCAATCAAATGTAAACATTTACTCTGTTAGTATGATCTTGGAAGAACTGCATCGCTCTGGCGAGATACTTGCCTAAAGAACCCGAGTTTTACCTTTCTTTGAATTTCTATACTGGTTTGCAATTGTAAATTTACCACCAATCTCCGTCCCATGAGTTCCTAAGTACTGCCACCACAAAACATTGGTTTAACACTAATACGCACAGAATAATGTTCTATCGCGGTTAATTTTACTTTTGTGCATTTCGATTATTACACTATTGATTGTGAAAATTGCAACACCCAGGAAGAATGACCCGAATGAATCCGAGCTCGGAGGATGTGTCGAACAGTGTACCAGAACTGATACGGTTTCATAGAAATGGGGTACATGTAGGCCCAGCAACGCCCTCTCTTGTCTGACTGAAAAGGCCAGGGTTACGCCAAACTCAGTCAGTGAAGAGCCGTCAAACGAAGTGAAAGCAAGTGCGAATATGCTCCGTCGACATCAAAGGGGCCATGTCAACTTGTGAGTGAGTTTGAACGGGGCAGAATGATTGGTCTCCGGGAAACGGGTTTGTCATACCGTGGCATTTCGCTTCGTACAGGGCATTTTGTTACGACAGTGATGAGTGAGTGGCGCCAGTTGATAGAAAAGAGTTGTACGCAGTGACGAGACGGTACTGTACCACGCAATGCGACCAGAGGATTGGATGTCCCCCATCTTGTCCACATGGCCGTGACGGACCATACAGCCTCGTCCGCTCGACTTTGCAGCATTACAACGGGTGTGGACTTGTCTGCGTCGACGGTTTTCGACGCCGTCTGCTGCGGACTGGACTAGTGGCACGCATGCCTTTGTGTCGGCTTCCATTGTCCAGAAACCACAAACGCCTCAGACCGCAATGAGCACTTTCTGAGTGGCAAAATGTAGTGTTTTCAGACGAGTCCCGCTTCAACCTGCCCTACAGTGATGGCCACATACGTGTTGGACGCTACCGTGATTACCGCAATCTGGCAGCCTGCATTGTGGCGCGGCATAGCGTAAAAAATACCAATGTAGGCAGATAGTTGGGCTTAACGTCTCATCGACCACGAGGTCATTAGAGATGGTGCATGTTGCACTGGGAAGAGGGATAGGGGAAGGAATCGGCCATGGCCTTTTGTAAGGGACCAATCCCTGCATTACCCTGGAGTGATTTTGGAAACCATGGAAAACCAAAACCATGATCACCGGACATGGAACGAACCCGGATTTTCCCGACTGCGAGTCCAGTGAGTTATATCTTTGTTTTGCCGTTGTTGTTGTAGTTGACGAGCTCAAGTTAGACCGACTTGTTGACAAATTCCCAATGCGACAAGCGAACCGAAAATCTGCCGCATCAGGAGGCACTTGGGCGTGGACCCACAACCTGGACCCTCCGACAACTAGTCGGCCACCCTACCCCTGAGCTATAAGGGCAGGGCCTCTGCGCCACCTCGCTTTGTTACAAACTACAAGTGTGATGGTTTGGGATGCCACTGGATACGAGATGCGATCTCGACTCCTACGTTTTGAGGACATTTTGTAATAAAGAACTAATAAAACTAATAATGGCGAATTAACAAACTCTAGTGTGTTTTTGCAGTTTATACGTGCTTTCGTCAATAATTTTTATCCATTTGCATTATTTTAGTATGACAGATGCTTTCTGTTCATGATGGTCGTCTTACTAATATGTAATAACAAATATTTTTTTTATTAGGCGTTTAAAATTATTTCAAAAACATTTTTCTTCAGGCAGGCATATTCTCGGAATGTAGATAAAATATATAAAGTACTGTAGGTAATTTGTATTTCGACCTGATAATGAATTCATCTGGTGTACTGTATTTACAAGTAAGATAACAAAGGATATGGAGAAGTATTTTGGACTGCTAAGCTTTTTCGCACTGCTCAAGTAAGACACCGTTTCCGGGGTATATATGGAAGACAGCTTCAGAGAAGTTGAGAATGCAATTTTTTTTTTTTGCAAGTCTCCTCTAGATTGTGTCGATAGAAACAGGTTTCACTGGCTATATTGCTGTATATCTCTGTATGGTGGACAGTAAAACTGTCTCTTGAGTTGACACGAGTTGGACGATGGTACTATCTTATGTTCTTGTGGTCAGTCCCAGTCCTCAGCGCCTTCTCGGAACGCATGTGTTCTCTCACATTCCCATCTTACTGTCGCCAACACCGTCGCACGGTTTGGTCTCACTGATTTCTCACGTAGGTTAACTATTCATCAATATTCAATCTCCTTACTTATTTCCAATCCGTGCTTTATACGTCTCATGCTAGCTATAGTCTGTTCACGGTAAGGTGTGCACTATTGAGGCCCTAGTTACTGTTTTCCTATCAGCCAATTTCATTCTTCTACCACCTTTTAAAATGAATATTTTCATGGCGGCAGTAAGCACAGAGTACATATATTTCATCGCACTCGAAAGTCAACATCTAATGATACAATAAAATATATTTACAAACTATTATTCCACTAACTGTGCTGCATGCACTTGTATCCTTCCTCATTACCAGCAAAGTTGAGGTATTACCGCTCCAAGAGGCCAATAACAGTCAAAATAAAAACGATTGCATTATTATTCATGCTGCATTTTATTACGTTTTCTCAGGGATCACTTTACCAGTCTCCAGATGTATTCATTCTCGTTTCATAACATCTTGACATCATCTTTTACAGTGTGTAATGTGATTAAAATTTTATAGTTTTGATGTCATTAATATGAACACAGTAAAAAAAATGACGATACACAAATTTACTATGATGTTTTAAAAATATATTAATATGGGTATGTATACTCGACTTAGCCTATTTCAAACCCGTGAATTTATGACGAAAATAATCGATGCTGTATTGATAATGTAATAAGAAATTAAGTAAACATTTAGTAAGAGACATTTCCTTATAGGTTTTTAATACGTTGTAATAGGTGTGACTGAGAATCTAAGACAAAATTGTACAGAATACGTACACATGTACAGTGGGAGGAACTGAAAGTCTGTTCAGCAGTTCGTCAATAGCTTCACAGTCCTAAAGTCTCTTATTCGTTCCATGAACCTTGTCACCACGTAATTTTCTGGGTATAAATTCTCAAGTGAGAAGAATAAAAATTACCGTGGAGGGTATATTTTCCTCAGCGTGCTCCCGTTCCATTCCCTTCTTCTTCCCACACATCATCTTGCTTTCATCTCATATACTCTTCAAGTAGGCCGGCTCGAATGGTGTGCCTTTGACTAGGGCATATGGCTAAATTAAGTAGCAAGCACCTAACTTTCATGTGGTATAGAGTACTAACACGTGAAATGATATTAATTTAGCATCAACTGACAGCGTATATCTCCGATCAGGAGATGTCAAAAATGTTTAAATCCATAACATGAGATGCCGTCTTATGAAGCTGTGTGAAGTACGACAAGTTTGCATGTAGTGTGGATTTTAATGAGTAGCTGTCGTGCTTTGGCAACACATTCAAACAAATATGTGCAACGTAAGAGTTTGAAAGAGAGCTAATAGTTGTAAAGAACGGTATTTTTTGGCAGGATTTTCCATCACTTGGACTGTTGAGACCGAAATTTTCAACGGTGTAGGATCACGACACTAGCGAACTCAACCAACAGAGTATCTTTCCTTCACCCAGAGACATGCAGCGGCATCATTAGGGACACTTGATTTAACCACACATATTGTTAGGCAACTTGTAGATGAATGTGAGCATTACTGGTGTTCCGTAGGCTGTCTTCAACTGACACAATGAAAATGATGACTTGATTTGTGAGGAGAGGAGGTGGTAGGTGATGGAGGGTGCTGGATGGTAATTGGGGGAGAGGGTCATGACCGAATATCCGCTCAGTCTGTTGAACCTGGCTCGGAGCTTCGAATCACTTTTACTGCTCTGAGGACTAATGCCCCGGTTGCACCAACATCTTCCACGATCCGAGGTTTAATGATCCTACTTCCTGACTAGGATCCAGTTTGATCTTGGTTCCATTGTAAAAGTGTTGCACCAACAAAATTCCATGATTCTGGAACTTCGATTCGTCGATCTTGGTTCCAAAGTGAGAGATCGAGATTAAGTATGAGACTAATTTTGCTATTGGTTCCTAATATATGACGTCATGAAAGTAGTCGATTTTTTCACTACATATAGAACTAGATGTGCGGTTTTTATCTGTTTTATCGAATTATTGCTGTACAAATTTTACTGAATAATAGTGCGTATAATGTTGTTCAAATTTCCCAAGAAAATAGTCGAATGTAGTTCTATCTGTTGGCGTATTTTCACACTACATTTGTCGACGAAGGCTGCTGATCATGAATCGAGATTTCGAACCGCCAAAATTGGCGGTTCGAAATGAAATTCATCTCGATCTCCAGTCCAGCTCTGAACTTGAACGGTGCAACAGTTTTCCGTGTCGGTCTTAGATACGACCTCGGATCGAGTTTTGAAACACAATGGTGCAATCAGGAATATTTGGCTAATTCTGCTAGGAGCCTCGAATCCACTTGTACCTATGGGCACTTGTTGACTCTCGCATCGACGGACTTCGAATACACACTTCAGGACACGATCGGGACATTATTCCATTTTTTATGGAAATTTTTTGGTCAAAAAAGTGAATTTGTTGTGAAACAAGTAATTTGGTCGATAACATGGCTGCCCCCGTTTGTGTGGCATGGACAGCTGATGAATGGCGATGTCCCGTCTTTAGTGATCAATGTAGTGTTTGGCATGACATAGTTCACCACTCTACCGAAATATGTAGGGCGCCAATCAACGCACAAATCTGGACTT